TTTTTTTGGAGACAGATTCTCACTCTGTCACCTAGGCTAGAGTACAGTGGTGTGGTCTTGGCTCACTGAAGCCTCTGCCTCCCGAGTTCAAGTGATTCTTCTGTCTCAGCCTCCCATGTGGCTGGGATTACAGGCGTCCGCCACCATGCCCAGCTAATTTTTGTATTTTTAGTAGAAACAGGGTTTCACTATGTTGGCCAGGCTGGTCTCGAACTCTTGACCTCCAGTGATCCTCCCACCTCAGCTTCCCAAAGTGCTGAGATTATATTATATAGGTGTGAGCCACTGTGCCTGGCCTTCCACTCCCTCATCTTTGACTTCCGGACACTAACCTGTTTTAGGAAAATAACTCCTGCCTTAGTTCCTTGGGTCTGAGCCTGATGACCTTTGTGTATTTCTAACCCTGCCTGCCTCTCACAGCCCCCAGCCCTCCAACTTCTCAGAGCTGGCTGCTCCCATTGCTGGGTCATCCTGTGGTTCTGACCATGACAGGGGTCCCACATATGGCCCCCTCCCTCCTTCCCCATGTGGCCCTGCCCCTGCTGGCTCCCTGAAGAAGGGAGACAAGGTAGCCCATGATAGCCCTCCAAGGCTGGTGCCACACGTTGGAGCCTGGAGGGGCCTCTCAGTCATCCCCTCTTCTCCTGTTCCTGGTGCTGACAACTCCAACAGTATATTCGTCCTCTGCCCTCCTTCTCTGTCCACAGCTTCTCTTCATGTTGGAGAATGAAGCTTAGGGTAGGAGATCATACCTGGCCTCAAGTTGGGAAAAGTGAGGGTGAGAGGAAAGGGTCAAGTTGATTTCTCTTTTGAGTATTTAATCTTGCTTCTTTATATTTTATTTTATTTATTATTATTATTTTGAGACAGAGTCTTGCTCTGTCGCCCAGGCTGGAGTGCAGTGGTACAATCTCAGCTCATTGTAACCTCTGCCTCCCGGGTTCAAGTGATTCTCCTGCCTCAGCCTCCCAAGTAGCTGGTATTGCAGGTGTACACCACCACACCCGGCTAATTTTTGTATTTTTAGTAGAGATGGGGTTTTGCCATGTTGACCAGGCTGGTCTCAAACTCTTGACCTCAGGTGATCCCCTCACCTTGGCCTCCCAAAGTGCCGGGATTACCAGCATGAGTCACCGTGCCCAGTCTTTTTTATTTTATTTTAAAATTTATTTTAATTTGTTTATATTGAGACAGGGTCTTGCTATGTTGCCCAGGCTGGCCTCAAACTCCCCACTTCAGCCTCCTGAATAGTAACCTTGTTTCCTCCACGCAGAGCAGCCCTGGGCCACTGCCCAGGAGAAAGAACATTTCTTCCTTCCTCTCCTCCTTTTCCTCCAGCGTCCTGCTGAGGAGCGCAGACCTTGATTGGAGAGGCACATTCAGCTTTGCAGCAGGTTGCTCAGCCTCTAAATCCCAGTTTTTTAAACCTTCATCTGTAGGGTGGAAATGGCAATGGCTGTGACCTCCTAAGAGCACTGTTGTGAGGTTTTAATATGGTGCCTGGTCCATGGGAGGACTCACAGGTACTGTCCTGTTGGTTATTATTATTTTCCTAATCTCCTTCCCCCGCCCTCCATGAACACAGAGCGTCAAGGTTGAAGAATGGCAGGCAGGCAATTTTTCTTCTCCTGCATCAGTGCTCAATTCCCCCTCCCTCCCCACCCCTTGTAGGTCCAGGACCATCTACCAGCACGCACAGGCAACAGAGCTGGCTTTATCTCAGCCATAAGCCAAGGGAGTAGTGCATTCAATGGGCCCGCAGCTCTGTCTCTTGCTCCGACAGTTTTGGGTGGAACAGACCCTCTCTTCCAGGTTCTGACTGCCCTCCAATAAAAATAAAAATAAAGAAACCAGGCCGGACGTGGTGGCTTATGGCTGTAATCCCAGCACATTGGGAGGCCGGGGAGGGCAGATCACCTGAGGTCAGGAATTCGAGACCAGCCTGGCCAACGTGGTGAAACCCTGTCTCTACTAAAAATACAAAAATTAGCCAGGCATGGTGGCAGGTACCTGTAATCCCAGCTACTCTAGAGGCTGACGCAGGAGAATCAATCGCTTGAACCTAGGAGGGCAGGCAGGTGGTGACG